GTTACAAATCAAAGCAAAAAACTTCAGACCTGAATGAAAAGTTATTAGATAAAGGTTGTTACAACATGAATACCATTATTAAATTTCACAAAAATCCAATCAGTACCTGTTGATATATTTTCACTCAAAATCCCAACCTCACAGGAACAATAGAGTTTTAGGCTGATAATTATAACGTTATTTTTAGCTGCATTAACTTCCCTTTAGTAATTCCAGCACCAAGGTCCAAATGCTTCAAAATATATTGCTTAAAACAAGAACAAAGCTTATGTATCAAGCACAGCTCTGTCTGTGCAGAATAAAAATAAGAATGTACATTTTAATCCATGTCACCTCCCAATATCACGATGAAACACATCTCCAATCACACACAAGGTTGTTGTCTGATTTATCTCCCTCTGCTTATCTCTTCCCATTTCTCATTTACCCCAAATCTCCTCTCCTCTCCTTGTGCCAAAACACCCCTCTTCAATCCAAAGTAGCCGCACTAACAGACGATTATGCTGTTTACCAAACAAAGCTGCATTGTAACTCTCTGACATTCACAGCTACAAACAAAGGATGTCACACAAGCAACAGAGAGGAGGAGGACTGACGAGGAAAAGATAATGAGCAGAGAAAAAAAAGAAACAAAGATGTCTGTGTGCTAAAAGCCGACGTTTTGATTCTTGTCCACTTCATCAGCTGATGTCTCCTCAGTCCATTAGCTAAAAGTCATTAAGCTTACTCTGCAAGATCAATTGTCTATAATAATAACTACTTTAATATCAAAGAGAGAACACTTCCGTCAATAAATCTGGCTTGTGTCCTATCGGTAGGAATGAGTGCTTTGATTGAGCAAACGACGAGTCAGTTACGCCATCAATCATCCAAACAAACAAATAAAGAAAGAGGTTATTTCAGTTCAGGTTATTTTTAAGATCTCCAGTGAACAATGTAGCGTGAGATAAAATATGGCATTTCATGACAAATTCTGAAAAAGGAATCCTCCTCTTTGGTGCTTTGTGACTGAGAGCGTTGAGGCGATTCTACTGGCAGATCAAACAGAGAAAACTGTGTTGTCTTGCAGCTCGCTCTGAGACTGTGTGGGTCTCGGGCCGGGAAAGGAGGTTAGCTGGTTGGAGTCTGACGACGGGCTGAAAAAAGCTGCTGACTGCACTGCTAAGCTGGCTGCTGACTCCAGACCTCTATTAGTGCGTTCTGTCCCACCTGCTCAGTGGTGGAGCTCAACCATGCAAAGACACACGTGCAGCAAACATGCGCCCAAACAAAGTGCTTACGTATATGCAATACATGGACACACAACTGCACAAATGTAAACACAAAAACAGTGGGGAAACAAGTGGACGCTCATGCTTGTTTCTGCTTTTTTTTTATCACTGTACTCACACATATATGATTTGTACTACCAGGCGAGATTTGTGGGTTCGTGCGGCACGTTGAGCGTAACGCCCAAGTTTTCAGTGACATGAAGGTGGCTCTCTTTTAACCTGGCTTGATCGCCATGGTAACTGATGCTGCACAGATGACCTGCTCCAGAGGAGATTCTGTTCACAGTTTGGGATTTAAATCGCCTGTAAGAAGCACTGCCCTTTCACTTGTTCTTTTTCCGACCATATTCCCTCTCAGCAATACAGAATCTCAGCTGAGGAAATGCATTATATCTGCAAACCTGTTGAGCTGTATGTTGCTAATACAGTGCTGCCCACTTATTGTCATACCGCTTTATAGAATATCCCATTTATAATCATAAAATATCGAAGTCCCGAATCATTTCCTATATAACCTATAGCAAAGCAGCCCAGTTATTGTCATAGAATAATGTCATAACAAAATTCCCCGAAATTGATTCCAGGAATAACTTTTGCCCGTTTAAAGTCATGGTCGGCTGATCGTTATGGCTCATGGGCCAAGCGTCGTTCATGCATGGCAGATCATCACACCCTGGTCAGCCGCGGAAGGCAATGTGTTTGTTTGTTTGTTTGTCAATTACCTGCTCACCTGAGATCTGCTTCACTGAGTTATTCACACACTGTCTGAGATTAATTAGGGCACATCAAAGAGAATCGCATTGTTGCAGAGCATGTCGTCACTCAGCGAGTTAATCATGATAAGTTAATCCTCTGTATACCCTCTGATTAAAGGAAGTAATTTTTATTGATGGGGTGGCTTTTAGTACCGACAAAGGCTAAAATATTCCATGAGAGACCCACAGGTGTGAGCTCATTCGTTAGAGGAAAGAAAGACCTTTACTTCCTTGTAAATATGTTTACTGATCGGAAGTAGAAAGTAGGCAGTTTTAATCCTATTCAGGACTTTCATGTTGCCATACGTAGAAGGTCTTTCGAGGTCCATTGGACCACAAGAAAGAATATGTGCAAAATATTTTGTTGATGTTCATTATAGACTTTTATACTATGTTAAATACATTTTCTGATAAGTTGATGTATTTTCCAAATACATCCAAATGCATGACAAATGTCCCTCTTTTTACATTTAAAAAAAATCTTCAAAAATCAAAAACAATACATGTCACCTAAACCAAATGGCCTGGGGTCCAAAAGACCCCAAAAGTCCTGAATAGGGTTAATGTTTGACCTTTTTTCATGTGCATACTTCATGTTTAATAAAAGTGTAAAACAAGTCTTGTTTTCTTTCCCTAAATACACTTTCACCCCATCGGAGCGCTCCCCCGGGGTGGAAGTGGTCGGAACGTGCACAAGCGCACCGGTCAATTACACGTGAAATCCAGCGATGCGTAGTGTTTTAACTATACACTAGTTATTAGAACAACTATAAACAATGAATATTAACAGCAAATTACCCTTCAAGCATCAAGCCCTCCTTGCATTTCGACCTCAGTCTTGACAATCCGACAGCTTTGCTATCCAACAAAAAAGAAGGTTTTACATTTAGTGCTGGAGTATCGAGTCACGACTGTACTTTATTTCCCAAATACATGCTAAATACGTCTAATGTAGAGCATGTAGATCGTGCTGGTCCAGTACCTAGGCTAGCTTTCACATCCAAACTCGCCGCCATCTTGAAACCTGCTTTTGGAAACTCCCGGATATAGTCATAATTGCATCCTGGACGAAGGGTGTGATAATAAACGGGTAGTACTGTACCACTGAATGAAGCCGTGCAGTTACAGTTTGCAAACTGTGTGTGTTGCTTTGCAACTAACCTACATGCATTCAGTTAGTGATGCAGAAAACGCATAAATATGCTTTTATGTTGGGTATGATTTTTTCTACACTGCTGAAACCACAGCAAATAAAAACCCAGATTAGAAAACTGATTCGTCTGTTGGTATTTCTCACAAAGAATATTTAATCAATAATATTAATTTCAGTTGGATTTGGACAAAACTAAAGTGATTTCTTTCATTATAGGACATGTGGGACCTAAATGTACTTGTTGAGTATCAAGTTTAAACGTATGAAGTTTACAGCTTGGGAGCTTCAACGTGCAGCTGTCACATTAGAGATAAGCAGCTGAACTGAGAGTGCACTGAGTGGAACAATAAATGGATTAACTTACAACATCAACAATTTTATACCAGCATTCATCTCTAGCATCATTTGCAGTGAGAGCGCTTTTTAGCGGAATAAATTCTTCAAAGCTCTCCATTATAACAGCTCGATCCTCTTGTCTGAAGTACGTGGCACATGATCAGTTTATTTTGTGTGGAGGAAGAGTTAAACAATGTGTCATAGGAGCACGAACAGAGCCTGATGAAGAAATGGGTAACAAAGTACCACCGTCATAACACCCATTATTTCTAATTGGGGTTTTAGGTTTTGTTAAGCCAGCTAACGCAAAGAAAGCCCGACTTTGTCAAACTTGCTTCCTAGTTCCACCCTTTGGCTGATATCTGCAGCTCAGTGTGTGAATGTTTTTGTTTGTGTTAGTAGATGGATGTTCCAACCGTCTCAAATAGTGCCACAGCTTGGATGCCAGGAGGATGAAGACCTTGTTTGGCAAACAGTGATGTAAAAGTGCCAATTTGTGGTTTTATAGGAAAATGTTAGTGTATTTGAACTGTTTTCTTGGCTGAGCGAGTGACTTCCTGGATTACTGTCAGCGCTGTTTGGTTTCCAGGCAACCAGTGAAGACCTGAGGAAATCACTGCTCCCAGGAAACAAATAGTTCCACCTCATAAACATTGTTCTTACTAAATTACTAAATAAGCAAATTAAACAATGTTTATTAGAGTTTCCAACAGATTTTTTTTTCATAGTTTTCCCCCTGCTTCTACTCTTTATGCTTGTTGCTGATATTTGGCATAGACATGGACGTAAAACTAATGTTTTTATCCAACGCTCAGCAACAAAGCAAATAAGCATATTTTCAAACATTATTAACTATATCCTACAATTAAGTGTGTCATTCTCTCTTAAAGCATAAGTCTCAGTGGTTTACATGTACTTATCAAAGGTTTCTAGCATGAAAACAACAAGAAGAAAATGCACGCCTGTGTACCTTCGGTTGACTTCCATGACTGTGCTGCAGGGGATGCTGGGATAACACAAAAACTGCAATCCCTCTAATGTTTCAAAGATCAAAGACCTTTCCTCTGCCATTCACTGCAGAGATATCCCACCTCACCTTTCGTCTCTGGAGACAGCAATGTTTTCCAATGACTTACGTTCAGGTGTCCCGTTTTTTTTCTTTCTTATATAATACACTTTGTAATTGGCTTTGATCCTGGTCTGCTCGAAGTTCAGCTTCTATTTCAGCGAGGACACAAGCTATCAGTGATTCAATTGTGTTGGTTCCTTCTTGTCTGAGTACTGGTAATTATTTAATATTTAATTATGCAAATTGATGTGGGTGGAATCCACACATGAAAACCCATGCGTTAGTCCAAGACTGACAAACAACTGAATAATTGCGCGTGAGAGTGAAGAATGGGAGCAGGCGTGAGTGTATGCACATTTGTAGACGTGTTAATGCATATTCAATGCATGCACGTTTCTTCCTTTTTTTTTTTTTACCTTGACAAGTGAAGCAGTGAACATGGAAGTGTGTGTTCTTGACTCGCACCACCTCCCCACGACAAACCTCCCCACAGCGCTCGCAAACAATGGGCGAGTTTCCACGGCTGGAGAGAGGAGAGCTGCTGTTGTTGTTTCCTCCGTAAAGGCCCGACTGGTACTGAACTGCTGGGAGAGGAGAGGAGAGGATCAAAAACATGTCACTTATTGTCATTTTGAGGCCGTTCCTTTAGTCTTTCTTTCAACTGAATTCAAACATCTGATCAAAGTGCGATAAAAAAAAAAAAAACGGAGCAACTGCCTCAAACAGATGAGGCGTCTGATGCCTTCTTTTTCATCGGTCTTGTTACAGGAGCATGTGGCAGCTAAACACAAGTGTCAATGTGCATCGAGGTTTGAAAACAGGTCTCCGGTTTATCTTATAAATTAAGTAGAAACAAACCCACAAGTTAAATCTTACTTTCAAATAACAGCAGAAATGTTGTTCCTCTGAACCTTGAGAAATCAATCGTGACACTCTGGTTTGAAGTTATACCAACACTCAGACGACCAACTCTGGTGGATTAGTAACACAGAAAACACGCCATCAAATGATAACAAAAGACAGAAGCATAATACCGCACACATTCAACTGAGGGTTCATGGAAAATGAAGACGGCTCAGTGATTGACTTTGTAACTGCGACCAATCAACCACAGCGTTAAAACCACAGACAAGTGAAGGGAATTACATTGATTACCTTGTTACAGTGACATCTGTCAAAGGGTGGGATATACTAGGCAGCAAGTGAACAGCCAGTCCTTGAAGTGTTGGAAGCAGGAAAAATGAGCAAATGCAAGGATCTAAGTGACCGACAAAGACCAAACAGTGATGTCTACATGACTGGGTCTGAGGATCTTCTTGCTCCTTGTATGTAATAGGAAGTTAGAGCCAGAATTGGCACAAGAAGAACAACTGGTGACGGGGTCATGGGTGTCCAAGGCTCACTGATGTGAGTGAGGAGCAAAGGCTGGTTACTGTAGCAGAAACAGGTGAAAACCTTAATGCTGGCTGTAATAGAACGGTGTCAGAGACCAGTCAAACTGCCTGTGCTGAACCCTGTCCATCGCTGAAAGCATCTACAATCCACATGTAAATGTCAGAACTGGGCAATGGAAAATGATGACCTGGTCTGATGAATCAAGTTTCTTTTTACACCATGTGGCCGGATGTGTGTGTGGTTTATCTGGGAAAGAGCTTGCGGCAGGATGCACTATGGGAAGAAGACAACCTGGTAGAAGCAGTGTAATGCTCTGAGCAGTGTTCTGCTGGGAAACCTTAGCTCCTGGTATGGCTACCTACCTAAACATTATTGTAGACCATGTTCACCCCTTTATGGAGACAGTAGTCCTTGATGGCAGTGGCTTTATTCAGCAGGATAATGTTCTCTGCCACATTACAAAAATGGTACAGGAGGGGTTTGAGGAACATGACAAAGAGTTCAAGGTGTTGACTTGGTCTCCAAATTTGCCAGATGTCATTGAGTATCTTTGGGATGTGCTGGACATCAAGTCCTGTCCATGGAGGCCCCACCTTGCATCCTCCTAGAATTACTGCTAACATCTTGGTGCCTGATACTACAGGACACCTTCTGGTCTTAGGGAGTCCAGGCCTAGACAGGTCAGAGCTGCTTTAGCAGCACAAGGGCAACCTTCACAATACTAGGAAGGTGGTTTTATTGTTGTGGTTGATAAATGTGGCTCTTGTTAAGTTTGTTAGTCCTGCAGGGAGATCAGCATGACTTACAACCATTTATATAAGGTCCTGACAGGAAGACAATGACATTCTTAAAACTTGCAAGTGGACTTTAGTATAAACTGTCACTCATGCACTTGTGGAGAAACTGGACTTCTCTTTTCAGTTCACATCCTAGAAGCTGCATCACACATTTCGGTGTACTGTCCAATTTGTTGCTATGGTACAAATTTGCTTTAATAACTATTATTTCTAACATATTTGCACGAATGAACTTCACTAATTACTTCTCTTTTCAGTTTGTATCATCCAGCGCTAACTTTATTTTTAACAAATTCAGCATTTTTTATTTATGTTAATCATGGAGGGCAGCAAATTCAAAAGCGCATTGTAAATTTGTCACAAAAAGCTCGGAATGATCTCGAGTTTGTACATGTACATGCTGAAAAAAGCATAGTACTAGAGACAGAAGGGCCTTTCTGGGATTAAACCTCTTTCATCCTCGCTTATGAAACTGGTCAAATCCCTCTTAGTGAAACAAGTTCTTTCTTCATGCTGCTTGAAACACACAACATATGCATGTACTGCTCAGTCTCTGTCACGGTAGGATGACACACAAAGGAGGAGCAGGATGAACAGATTTCACTCTGACAGATAGTGATCAATTTGTATTTGATTTCCTATAGCAGTCAACAGTACAGTACAGCACGCTGCAAAGCAATCTGAGCAACAATCCTACTGTATTCTGCTCTGTTCAATTACTTTACAGTTAATGCTGCTGCATCCAAGAGTATTATGCAATCGCAGCAAACACAACATGCTGGCAGGTTAAGCTGATGACAGCAGGAGAGAGACGCACAGAGACAGTTGTGAATCGATAAATGTTTTCAGGAGGAAAAAATAAAAAAGGTAAAACTGGGACAAAAATGTTGCCTAACAAAGTGCATTTCCACTATGTGTGTGTGTTGGGTGTGTGTGTCTGCATCACAGAGGCTGGCATTGGTTCTGTGGCCAGATGGCAGCATAAGGACTAGAACAACAGACATATAAAGATCTGAGCCACCTGTGTGCGGCCGAGAGACTCCGTGTTATTTTTGTGTTTGCGTGTTTGTTATTATTAGTAAATGTTGTTCTCGTTACTGGAATTGATGAAGGAAAAACCATTTGACCTGTATTTGCCTCAGTGTGTGTGCATGTTGACCAAACTGTCATCTTACCATGTTGTAAATTTCATGCTGAAGTGGAATAACCAACCAAAAAATTACTTCTTTCCTTCTTCTGTTTATTTATTTTGTTTTATATTAGGGGCTTTAAAACTTAAAATAAACAGGACACTATAAGTACAATCCACAAAAGTCCAAAAAAAATTTTTTTTTTCCAATTTGTTTTCTTGTGACCCTCAGCATTTTTTCTTGTGACCCCATTGAGGTCCCCTTCCCTGAAGTTGAAAACCACTGCTCAACCAGGTTCTAATTTTCTTTCAACTATCAAGTTGTGGTGAGGTGAAGTTATCCAGCAATTTTCACGAAAAAGAAGAAAAATGGAAAAACATCTCAAATGTTAACTTGTTAATTGTCTGGTGACCCCTCAGATTTATCTAATGACCCAGTGACAGACCTCAACCCTCGGTTTGGGATCCTCTGGTCTACAACATCAAAACAGCCGCCTATAAAGATACAAGTTTCAAACAGTCCGTTTGTCAGAATGAACTTTTTTTTGACTCCCTCGGTGCATCAGTTGTCAGACTTTGTGCCTCTTTGATGCTGCTTTGTGTCGCTTTCACTAAACTTTTGGGGATGCTGCCTGTCAGGAGGTGGATCTGCTCAGATGTGCTTAAATTTCACTCTTCATGACCTCACAGTTTTCGTTACAGACACCAACTTGATACTCACACAAAAAATGACATGTGATGTCACCTCCGTTTTTCTTCAATCCTCCCTTAAATGTCTTCAAAGTCAACGAAGCCATTTATTCTGCTCTGATCAACAGCGTTGCATATTTACTCTGACCTTTCACCTCATGGGTTAACAGCCTGGATAAAAACCAATAAGCTCTGTCATAGTGTGAACCAAACCACTCAGCCAAAAGATAATCCCCCTCCTTTTTTTTTTTTTCCTCTAGTCGGGGCCCTTCTGCTACACCGACAAGGTTGTAATTGTACCAGTTTGGCCCCACTGGAGCCCTTATAAGGTTGAATATCTCCCTGAGGTGGGAGATATAAAACAGAGAGGCTAGTAGAGGAGGAGATGGTGTCATATCTGCAGAGCCACTTGGATTTTTTGGAAAATAGATTTTGGGATTTGGTGGTTTCACATTAATAAAGCGTGCTGTCTGTTGGTTCTATGTTTAGACATTGTGGTATTTTAATATGTGTGGCACACAAAAATGTGCTCTTTTGTCTTCTTCTCTTCTCTCTCCAAAATATGAGTAGCTGCTACAGACTTGATTTCTTTCTCAAAGGAACTCTGCCACAAAAAAATAAAAAATGAATGAATTGGAGCGATAATTTTGCACATTTACTAAATAAAATGAATCCCTAATTGCACATAAATCTGCATCACACTGTTGACAGTCATGAAGCTGAATCCTGTTAATACACAATATCTGTCTGTTTCTAACATTCACTGACAAAAAAAAGCTAGTTAGTGGCATGATGAAATACACTGTCAATAAGTGAGTCAGTGATCAATAACCTGTGTGAGGGGCTGTTTATGTCTACTTCACGTTAAACCCTCCCAGGACACTGTGTTATTGATCAGGCAGACTCACACATTGCTTACCATTTGTTGGTCCGCTCATGGTGCCAAGTGAATTCCAGCAGAGTCGCCCTCAGAGTCCGTATCAGTCAGTTCATTTAAGCCTCTAGCAGCAGGACAAAAGCTCCAAAATATGACAAAGCGCTCTTTTCAACTCTCTCGGTCCCTGTCCTACTTAAAACTCTCCCTCCCTCACTCCGGCTCAGTCAGGGAAGGGCTTTCCCTGCTCCTCCCGGCGAGCGGATTACTGTCAGGCGGCAGACTACTGTACCTCTCCGCGCTGCGTAAAAGGCAGGAATTAAATGGAAACGGACGGTGTACTGCCCCTCACGCCTTCAGCTTGTGCCTCTCCCACCCGACCAACCCCTGCGGTTCTCCGGTTCGGTGCGTCCATCCCGCCCATGCCCGGTCCCGGTCCCGGTCGGTGCGCTCCCGCGGACGGCTGCGTGCCTGTGCGCTCCGGTGTTCAAGGCTGAAATGCTGGATGCTGGATGTTGCTGAGTTTCTGAGGGGGGGTTTCACTGACTCAGGGGCTGCCGGTGTGTTTCTCCGGGAAGCAGAGGAATCCTCTGCATGGTGCGAGAGCGCCGAACAGCGTCTGAAGTCCAAACTGCCGGAGAGAAAACATCAATTAAAACTGAACGTGAGGATGTATTGTTATTCCATAGTGGATGTAATTGCTATGGACTTCATTTGAAGCCACTGTGTTTAAAGTTTGATCAGCGTTATAATTGTGTAATATTCCAGTCAGGGATGTGTGTCAATAGTAATCATAAAATCCTTTTAAAATCCTTTAGGGTGTTCAATTTTATTCCCATACAGAGTGTTTAACGAGACAAAGTCCACCTTAAATTGTTGTTCAACTGACTGACATGTAAAATCATTTCAGCATTGTCTCCTGGAGATCACAGTAAAGACTTAAAATGATTAAGTGTGTGGCTTAACATCAAGTTTGGTTCATCTAAATAAGTTGGATTAGAAATAAGACCAGTGGTGGAAGAATTATCAGATCATTTACTTCAGTAAAAGTAGAATACCATGCTATGCAAATACTCCACCACAAGCAAAAGTCCTGCATATTAAACTTAACTGATGTAAAAGTATAAAGCAGCAATATTTGTTTAAAGATTTAAAGTAAAAGTACTCATTGTGCAGTAAAATGCGATGTATATAGCAGATACTAAAACTTAATATGTATAACAGATAAAGTTGCATTATGTATATTTTTGTATGGTTTTAACCGTTAAAATAAATTCATATGAGAAATAACACTGTAGGGTCTTAAATTCAACATTTAAACTTGTTAGGTTAATTAACAAGGTAATATCAGTCTTATTTTTCTACTGCAAAGCATTTTTGCTCAACAGCTGTTGTTTTAAATGTGATTTTTACGAATAACTAGGGATGGACTGATACCTCTTTTTGATTTCCGATACCGATACCAATACTTCAACTTTGAGTATCTGCCGATACCGATACCGATACCATCTCTCCTCCTAAACTTCTTTGGAAATACCTTATTTGCATGGATACATTTGTTCAAGATGGTTTTATCAAAAGCCTCATACTATTAAAGCATAGACTTTGCCTTTCTAAGAAAGGAAAAAATAGCCAAAAGCATGTCTCAAAGTGAAACTGTAGCTGCTTTATTTGAGCTGCAATCAGACTACAGTGTGCACTCAG